CATCCATCCATCCATCCATCCATCCATCCATCCATCCATCTATCCATCCATCCATCCATCAGGGTCACAGGGGCTTGGTGCCTATTTCCAGCAGTCTATGAGCAAAGGCCCAGGAGAAGTCACTAGTCCATCTCAGGTGAGAAGTAATTTGTGCATTAAAAACATGTTGCATCATTACATGCTAAACTTGGTGTTTTTACACAAAGAGCTTTCTCTGGTATATCAATTATGAAGCTGCTGCTCTGATTGCAGCTAAGTATAAAAGAAGAGAACAACAACAAAAAGATGTGTGAGCCATAGCCAAGTTAAGAGATCAAAATTTTACATTTAACCAAAGGAAATAGAATAAGATTTTTTAAGTGCTAGAATTTTTTCAAACAGACAAGCTGCAATATACATTATCTTTATGATTTTTTAAGAGCTTATATATAGTTGGAGAATAAGATTGATGTTGTATAATACAATTATTTTTGTCTCTTCCTAAAGAGCTAAAATTGAAAAAGTGGGATGCAAAAAAAAAAGGTGGTTCCTGAGAGATTTTCAGAACTAAAAAAACGTGATAGCGGCCCAGCAAAACATTATTTATTACTGCCATGTTTGAATTATAACCATAAATTACCAAATATATCTAGTTTCTAGTCTGATACAAGCATTTCATGTAACAGTAGTTTTACACAAAGTAAAATGAAGCACATCTATTGGAACATAATAAGTGAGAAAATGTGTGACCCTCTTAGAATATGTCAGCTTTAAAAGCAAACACTTATTTGTTTTACTGATAGTTTTAGCATTTTGCCTTTTCTCTTTAAGTTGAGGTTGGTGCTGTTCTTTATACTCATTGAATAGAATAGAATAGAACAGAATGGAATATAATAGAATAGAAAATCCCTAATTCTCCCACATTGGGGAAATTCTGGTGCTTACAGCAGCAAAAAGATTATAGAAAAAAAAATTTGTCAGACAACTGTGGACCATAGTATAGAAAACAATAAAACTGTGGACCTGCATACTATAAACTGTTGAAAATGAGCTGCAAGTGACAAGCTTTGAACAAGTTCAATATAAACTAAGGCGAATCTTTTCTCACATATTACTGTTTTCAAGCACACTATTTCCTTATATAAATGCATATATTTCTTAATTTTTTTAATGTAACTATTTTAGTTGTTTTTTGTATTACATTTTTCAGTAGTGATCTGCTGAGAAAACAGCTATATATATATTTTTTTTTGCATTTTAAACAAGTTTATGGTTTTGACAGGAGTTGTATATCTTTAAAATAGGTCACAATGTTTCTTTTGTGAATTGCTATATTTGTATAACCTCAAACATAAATCAACACATGCTTTGAGGTGAAGGTATATTGTGGATGTTAATCATGCATGCATGACTGACATACATTAAGATTTGGGGGAAAATCCCATTTTGAAAATTCTACATACTAATAATCCCAATATATTTCCATAATTTCACCATAGCCTTTAATTTAATGTATATATTTTTCTTTGCCACAAGTAATGTCATTTAATTTTTTTAGTTCCTTAGTAATTATTCTTTTTTAGATGTAAAAATATTGACTATTATTCGGAATAGTTATTAAGCTTTATAACTTGCCACCCTTACATTCTTTGACGTAAATGTAATTAAATGTCAATTCAAGCACAGTATTTATGAATAACGGCTTCTGTCCATGGTGCTGATGACGTTAATGTAAAATCCCTCTCCAAAGCTGCAGAGGGCGCCAGAGCCCAAACATCGCGACACTTCGTCAGCAGAAGGAGGAGCAACGTGTGAGCAGCTGCAGGAGGAAAAACATGGCGATGCCCGTAAGAATCTGCCCTTTCTTTCGCTGGACAGGACGGATAGTGTCCTCACTTTCTGCAGGACACATTCTGGAAGTCAGTCTGCCAGCGAGGAGGCGCTTTATATCCACCTCAACGGCAATCAGTAGGTTAATGTTTTATGAAAGTTAATTATAAACTGTGTTAACATAGAGGTCAATGTCCGATATTAGGGGCAGCTTAGTCTCATAACAAATAATAAAAGAGATAAAAATCGATGCATATTTAACTTAGAAAATTGGAAAATATCTTCAATCATTTGTTGTTGTATATTACCAAAAAACTTTAAATGAAGACAATGTAGGCTTCATTACAAACTCCAAAGAAAGAGATGCTCCTTTACTATGACTGTAGGTTAACCAGAGTGTTTAAAAGTATCAAAAATAATTATATAAGTTTATATGAAATCTTGTTAAAGGCAATTTACTGATTAAATATTATATTAAATATCATTATAATATAATATGACTGAGTTTGATTTTTAAATAAGCTTCTTATCATTGACTTGATTTAAGAGCTGTGAAAATAATAATGGTGAAATATTATTTATGATAAAATAATAATTGTGAGATTCGTGTTTAAGAAGAGCCAAAATAAATGGGATTGGATGAATGTGTCGCTAAAAACTACCAAACTACTCGTTTTTAGAAATTAATTTAAAAAAATTGGTCTGTGCAGTGAGCTATTTCTGTCATTTTTACCTTCTAAATGTTGTCTAAGTTGAAAACCCATCATCACATTGCTTTTGCAAAAAGTAAACTTTATGTGATTATGCTGTGATCCGCTGCTTTAGTAAGATAATACCATAGTTCATAAAGCCTTTTTAATAAGTTGAATTTCATAAACTGTATCTTTTTACCTAATTATATGTATTTATTTATATATCAAGGTATAGACATTTTATTTCTAAATTATAATTAATAAATATTAGAAAATAAACCTGCTATGTTTATTTCTAGACCTTCAGTTCAGGCTCGATGAACGCACAGCTCACAGCAGCCTGGACCTCTTCAAGAAAGACACCGGCATCATCTACCGCATGCTTGGCCTGGACCCCTCCCACGTTAAAGAGGACCCCGAGCGATTCCGAGAGTGGGCTGTCGTGTTTGGCGACAAAAAGATAAGCAGCGGACGACACTATTGGGAGGTCACGGTTAAAAAGTCCCAGGAGTTTCGTTTGGGGGTCGCAGATGCACTGATGTCCAGAGACGAGTGTGTGGGTAATAACAGCTCCTCCTGGGTGTTCGGCTATGCTCAGAGGAAGTGGTTCGCCATGACCAACAGTAAGGTGGTTCCTGTGACGCTGGTGGGAAAACCGGATCGAGTGGGGATCCTGCTCGACTATGAAGCAGGGTTCCTGGGGCTGGTGGACATTGAGAAACCCAGAATCATTCACACTATCAAAGCTGAGTTCATGGCTCCTGTGTGCCCCGCATTTGGACTTTGGGACGGGGAACTCCTAACGCATTCTGGTGTGGAAGAGCCAGAAGGCCTGGAATGAAGATGTGTTAACAGATGACTGCCATGGCTTATCAGGGCAACTTTATTATTGTCCTAAATAAATGTGCCTGACATGCAGCAATAGGACTTAACTACAGATGATAATTAATACTGTGGTCCACTATATCATCACATCAAATGATGCAAACTCATCCTGTGGTCTTTCTTCAAGACTTGAGCTCTTTTGTACTTGTAATGGAATTTGTCTCAGACACTAGATGAGGAAACAAGAACGTGTGGTTTTCATAATCATTGGCTGCCTATATTTTCTTATGCCTGTTGCCTGTGGTGGTTTTCTCCACACATATACGACATCAAACAGAACAGAACCTCATTCTGTTCAGATTCAAACCATATACTTTTTAATAAAATAACTTCATTGAAGTCTTCCACATTTTCTTTTTTTATTTACAGCAAGACATTTACATTAAACAGAAGAATTGTACAAAGATTATTCAAAAAAAAACTACTTATTTGTATACACAAAAAGACTCCTAGGTATATTTCAGTTTATCATATTATATATATAATTTAAAATGCATATGTAAGGTGCGTTTGTATAAACTACTAACCCGTATGTCCACATGAATCTAAATATTTTAAGATATACTGCTTAAATGCACAGTTGGATTTTTCTATTAATTTTAATAAGACATATTTCCAGAGATGCACCAATTGGGTTTTTTCGTGGCTGATACTTGCTTTGGGGTTTCTTTTATATCTGGCCTGCCGAACCTGATTTTCAGATACTTATACGTTTTTTTATTTCTTTATTTTTTTTTTAAGATTATAAGACTAACGAGCATGAAAAAAATTACACGACCATCACTGTTAATGATCGGAGTCTGTAACCTTTATATTATTTTATTGAACTCAAACTTGGATCGAAGTGTTTGCTGTTATTTAACATAGTCCCAAAAAATTGGAAATTAATATTTTGATTAATGCATTGCTGCATGCAGTGGATCTCAAAGGTACAAACTACCCTTTTTTTAGTGTCCAGATTCTTAACATTAATAGTAAAATCATCATGAATTGTTTTCCAAATAGTTTCTTATTTTTTACACATCCTGTTCAATTCAGTTTAAAAAACAAACCAACCTATAGGTGGAAATGCAGAGTAAGACAGTGTTACAATATGATAAAATCAATTCGCTGACTGATCTGCTGTATTTGACCACATGTGGAAATAAACCAGGTATGCTGAACACTATTCTTTTTATCTAAATTCAAATCAAACAACTTTGCAGAAGAACATGATCTTAACTTTTTAATTCTCATCTCCTTTCCTAAAATATATTGCTGTGTTTTTCAGTTGAACTGCATGAAATAAAGATCATATTAAAGATGGGAGTGCAGAAATAATTTATTTTAGAGAATAAATATTTTTTTTTTTTTTTTACATTTTAAAAATGAAGAATCCTAACAGGATATTTAGAGAATCCCTGTATGCCCTGGTCTTAACAAGCAATGAGATACTGGCTAAAACTGGCTGGTTGAATTATTTTTAACAGCAATATTGGCCCAGAATCTCCCAATTGATGCATCCCAATAAACAAATAAAACGACAAAAAAAAAAAAAGGTATAAATCTATACAGAGTATTAAAATCCTAAACACCACAGTGAGTATTTACATGTCAACAAAAAGAAAATGACAACACAGCTGATTGAGATCAAAACAAGGGGACTGACATGCATGTTATTTGCTCAACAGAACAGGCTTCAGTAGCTTTCCCCCTTTTAAATAAATCCTTAAGGAAGCACCTATGTTTAATTCTCAGAACATACTAATTAAGGCCCTGTTCACACTAGATGAATCTCCTCTACAAATTTAATTACTTCTAAGAAGGTGGTTAGATTACAGCAAAATGAGAAAACCTCCCTCTGTGTGAAGGCAATCAGGAAACAGCTGCAATTAGCAGTCAATTGATTATTTCCTACTATTTTTTGCACTCCTGTACTCTCAGCATGATCTGCAGATCAGCAGCTCATCCCAGTGTTGATCTCATTACATGACATTCCAGACTTTCATCAGGAAGCTGCAGTGCCCTACAGCAGTGATGTCGATCTGGTCCTCGGAGGCCAGTGTCCTACTTGTTTTAGACTGATTCCTGCTGCAAGCAGCTGTTCCAGATGAATGAATGACTTATTCAGCATACCATCAAGCTCCAAGACCTTGCAGCTGTTTCTTTGAAACAGGTTTGTTAAACAAGGACAGCGTCTAAAAAATGAAGGAAACTGGACGCCAGATCTCCGTGAGATCACTCCACCATGTTGCTATCTGTATATATATACGTATATATATATATATATATATATATATATATATATATATATATATATATATATATATATATATATATATATATATATGTCAGGTGGAATCAGGCAAAAATGTTTCCTGTGTATTGTGTTGTTCTGAGGATATCGGAAAATATTGTATTATATTTACATATTACATTTTTATATATAAATTAAATTAGAATATATTACAAAATACATTACAGTAAAATTCTATTTACAGTTTTGATTTAGGTAACTTAATAAGATCACAGGACTGCATTCAAACTGTGGTCTAAATCAGGGGCCACCAAACTTTTTAAAGTCTCAGCCATAGGCTACCAACAATGACCTATGACCTGGAGGGGTTGGAGTCTACCTAAAGTTCATCCATAATAAACATATTTTTATTGGTTCCTTTAATTCATAAATTTCTTTTAGCGAATGCCATTTTGAAATCTCTATACATGCTTAAATTCTCTATGATGACATTCTCCATAAAGATTTAAAAAGAAGAAGAAGTGGAATATAATAAAATTTTAAACTTAGCCCACCGGTAAGTTTTCAAAAAACCTTAAGGGCACCCCATGAGGTCCTTCGTGAGCCCTGGTCTAGATATTTCTGTCAGTCTCACAGCAACTACCACATCCAAGCTAGTATACAATATGGAACAGGGTACACTTCTCTCTGGATGGGATTCTTCTATTCTTATTTCCTGGATGCTTCTATGGTGATGGAGTTTATAGAATGGAGTTTATTTGTTCCAGAGGTGTGGTGAGTACACAGCAAAAACGATCTAGAAATAAGTTTTAAAAAATCAGAAAATAAAGTGTATTTACACTTAATTTGACTGGGTAAATAAGATGATTTGCCAATGGAATGAGTATATTAACTCCTAAAATAAGATAATTTAATAGTATGCATTTAAAAAAAGACAATGTAATTGTTTTTCCTTATTTTAAATGTAAATTATTTCACTCCATTTGCAAAGTGTCTCACTTACCTCCTGAAATCAAGAAAAAATTCCCTTATTTAAAGAAAAAATAACTTATTTAGATTTAAGATTTTTGCAGTCTAGAGACAAAGCAGCGCCACATCCAAGAGCATTGCAGTGACTCATTCAAAGCTTCAATAATTATGTTATCATGGCAAGTCCTGATTTAAAATGTCTGAAGACCGAGCCATACAGGTGAATTCTGAACCCACTTTATGGCTATGATAACCTTGCTGTCCTCATTCTGCATTTAAGGTGGCAAAATGCTGCTATCCGGATAAAGAATCAACACAACAGTTTAACTTAGGTTTTGTACAAACTGGAAACCCTAATAGCATTTTCTATTAGGAGAATTACTTCATAGTGCACTATAGAAAAAAACCCTTTCCAATACTCTGTTATTGATTTTGAAGTGCTGTACAATGATCTGATCTCAGTGTGAAAGGGGCCAAAGTAAAACATACCTATTTGGATTTCAAAATAAATAAAGCCATTTTCAAATATCTAGATCTTGGTAACATTTACAAGTTACTGATGCACAAAAAAGAATATTACTACTGGTACTAGTAATATTATTATTTGTCTTACAATTATTTGATTGTCTAATACTAGACATACTAAACCTTTATTCCTGACAGATATGCCATTGCTTTCTAAATACTGGCATACTTTAACTACATTTAAAGAAAAAAACACCCCCTTTTTAAGTTGCTGTACATTCTTAACAATAGTTATAATCTTTACAGCCTTTGGTTGGAAAAAAAAATTCAGACTCTTCAGTTCCTATACTAAGAGTAGGTCATATTTTTACTAATGACTGGCCATTAGGTTCCTAAATTTTATGATAGACAGAAAATTCATCGGTTGTCTTAGTTACCATCTGTCCCATATTTAATTTCTGGTATGCAGCAGAGGGTTTTCAATCCAAACCTCTATGGTGCTTTTCTTAAACGCTGCTCTTCATTGAGTCCAGCACGGCGCTCTGCTCCTCTGTGCTGATTCTTGAGTGTCCATCTGTGTACTCATGTTGGTACTTTTGCAGGACTGAAACAACAACATCATGGCCAAACTGCATGGCGTCATCGAGGGGTGTGTTGCCCCATCTGATAGACAATGGCGTGAAATGGAAAATGATGGACTGTCATAGTTAGTAAAATGAGTTAGTATCAGATGAACGGTGAGAACTAAACCTACCTGTCTTTATTGTAGGGATTCACTTTACATATTTCTGTCAGAAATATTACAGCATCCTGGTGGCCTGGGAGGAAAATAAGGTGAGCAAAAAGAGCACATTTTAAATGCCGAATTTTTGAGGTTTCTCAATGCAGAAATTAGATAAATGATCAAACTAATGATGTTAGGCGTTACCTTCAGCAGCAGCAACATGGAGAGCAGTACGAGAGTCGTAATCCCTCTGCTCCATGTCAACAGCTGAAAGGGCAAACCTGGAGAGAGGGTATTGCATAGAAATATTACTTACTGTGTACTGCAAGTTGAGTTACAAACAAGCTTCAAATGAATATGTAGGATATTTAAAGCTGAAATAATTAGAATAATATCAAAGTAGATTAATAGTCCAGAGATCTTTGCTTTAATTTATCAGTTGGTGTTTCATAATCAACAGCAAAAATCTCTCCACATTCGGTAGGTCATATGGGATATGAAATATGTATCGCGGTAGAAAACAAAAATGACTGGATCAACCTCTGCACACTGTCTTAACCACTCAGCCTGATCAGTGGGAGATTGCTCCTCCCCAAATGTAGGACCAACAGACTATTGAACTCCTTTGTTCCTCCAGCCACCAAGCTGTACAGCTCCTCACTTGGGGTCAGGAGTGGAGCTAGATGGGAGGCCAGGGGTGGCTATGGCCACCATTAGCCAACCGTTGGCCACTTCTGTTGCCATCCCTACCATTATTTCCCCTCTAATACAGATGGTGGCAGCAGTAATACTCAGAAGTGGAATGTTCCTACTAATTTAACATTTTGTTTTTTCATATGTTAACAGTTACTTGACAACAAAAACACTATGTTTATATATCCACATCAATATACTAACATCAAAGATGATACATACAGAATCATGCTCTTTTCAGAACTACATTTTGTCTTATGTGGGGCAAAGAGAAAATTATGTCTGAGTCTTCTGTGAAATCCATTTAATGTAGATATTAGTACATGTAAATATTATTTTATTCAGAACGATAATTGATGAAAGTAGGTAAGTAATGACAATGAATAAGATGTTTGCCGGAGAACTCAAACCTGAAAGACTTTTTATTCCACTACACCTTTAATTTAAACAGCATGGATTTTTAAATATATTAGTATGTTTGTTTGCAAAGGCTGTAGGAAAGTATAGTTACTCTTTATTTAGAAAATAACATAACAGTGTAGATCAGAGATGGGAAGTAATGAAGTACAAATACTTCGTTACTGTACTCAAGTAGATTTTTCTGATATTTTTACTTTACTACTTATTTTTATGGCGACTTTTTACTTCTACTCCTTACATTTTTACTCAAATATCTGTACTTTCTACTCCTTACATTTTAAAAAATCAGTTCGTTACTTTAGTTTTGAATCATTTCAATGGAGTTACCGTTATTATTTTTCACGTCATCAATACCAAATTCTAATTGGATGGGAATCTACAGTACTTTGCATTTGACGCACCACTACAAGATGAATCGACAGATTCGGCGGTATTCATTGGCGGCAAATCATTGCAGCTTGGTGGCGGTGGCGTTAGCATAGTAGTATGGACGACGAGATGATTGAAAATGAACACAACGGAGATCTAGTCCTATTGGCAGACATCCATTTAAAATGTAGGCAACGGCATGAAAAAAGTGGTTTCTACTTTTACTTTTATACTTTAAGTAAATTTACAAGCCTGTACTTTGTTACTTTTACTTGAGTAAAGAAGTTTAATCAGTACTTCCACTTTTACCAGAGTATTTTTTAACACAAGTATCTATACTTTTCCTCAAGTACGGAAAGTGAGTACTTTTGCCATCTCTGGTGTAGATTGACCCTGAGCTTCTGGCTCCTATCTGCTGTCGGCCACCCCTCAGTGTTCATTGGTTATTGCCTGGCTACCCTTATTAAAATCTTCTGGCTACGCCTTTGCTTGGGGGAAGGAGGAGATGATAGGAAGAGGGACAAGGGTCAGCAAGCCCCTCCTTGGACATCTTGTGCAAAACATTACCCATTGTCATTCATGTGCAATATTCTTCTCTCTCACTGTGCAATAACACATGCCAACTACTGTGCAGTCTGTGTAATTTTTTACTTACAGTATTGATATGGTTAATACATGTCTGCAGTACAAGTGCAATAATCTAAGTCAACTACTGTGTAGTCTTTCCTTAGCTCTCTACTGTGCAGAAATGTTTATATCTAAAGGAAACATATTACAGGACATTAAAACATTTTTATGCTCTTTTGTACCTTATACACTGTTTTCATATTGACTATTGTATTTTTCAATCTTTCAACTCTTACCTTTGTACTCTATATAAGTTACTGGAACCAGAATTTTCCTGAGAGAGTAATCCCAAGAGATAAATAAAGTTGAGTCTAAGTCTAAGTCTCTAAGTCAATTATTATAAACTAGCTTTTCTCCTCAGTGGTAAAACTTCTATGACTGCAAGGTTTTTGACACTTTATCAAACTATTGCTGAAAACTTTGAAGTAAAATGTTTGTTCCTGCTCACCTTCTCAAAGCAGAGACATCACCACTGTATGCTGCAAACATCAGGTTAACGACTGATTTGTTCTAAAGGAAAGTAACAATAAAAAGAAAGGTTTAATATTTTCCAAAAGGCAGAGTTATTCAGGCAAACAGGCAGATTTTAGGTCACTTGTTGCACTGAACTCACCGGATCATCATCTGTTCGTCTCCTGGGGTCATGTTTCTTGGTGAAGTGCCTCAGGTTGTCATAATTGTGAAAGTTGAAGTAAGAAACAAGTTCCTTTTAAAACAAAGCACAATAAATTATCTCTACATTAAAATACTGGTATGTTCAATATGGCAGAAAAATGTGTCACAATGTGAGCCTTTAATATCAGTCAATATCAGAGTTTTGTTTACCTATTTGAAATAAAGACTTGGAGAAAAAAGCCTGAATTTAAACTGTTACTCTAACCCTATTTACACGGAACCGGTCAGTCCCACCACCAACATGGCTTAGTTTGCTGGTGAGAGTTTCAGGGATTAAATCAACCCCCCCAGATTACCATGTGCTTCCAGATCAGAGTTCAGTGGAATCATTAAAAATGTTATGGGATGCATTCTCTATCACTTTGGCCAGGTGTCTATAACATTATATGCCGGCATTGATTTATTAATCAACCTAAAATCTAAGGTGTCTAAAGGTTCAATTATTTAGGATAGGGAACACGACACCACAAGCTGATCTACCTGACAGAAGTGGATTCCTCTGACGCTGTTTCCAAGCCGATCCAATGGCGGAGACCAACACAGCAAGCCCATGACATTGGGGACCACCAACAGAACAGCACCTGAAACTCCTGATTTTGCAGGCAGCCCCACCTTCACATGGAGAAAAAAATACAGTAGAAGACCAAAAGAGTCAATTTTGCTTCCACTTGGATGTTTGTCATTTATTTTTTTGGTAGGTTAAGATTTTTTACTGGTTTACATGTGAACAGGTTTGCTTTAATCTGCAATGAAATATTAGTATATTTGGAGCGTTATTTATGCATATTGTGGTCTAGTTTCAGGGTGTCCACCAGATCTTTCTCATCAGAATAATGATGTTTTAATATGTGCCTGGATGTGATTCATGTCTCCCGTTTTACTGTAAAAATTTACTAGATAAGATGTCTTCAACCTTTGTCTTGTGTAAAATTCCCCTATGGTCTATTGCATTGAAAGAAATGTGTGAACGGATGCTTCTAGCACCTTTAGCTTTATTAGGGGTGATCATTACTTCAATGCCATTTGAGTTAATAGATTAAAAAATAGATTAGACAATAGTTGGAAATAGCATATTAATTGAATAATTTAGGTTATATTTTAACATTATAATAATCATCTTTCTCGATTAATAAACAAATTACAAAAAAAGAGAACAAACAAGTAATCAGTAATTGACTGTTTGGGAAGTTGAAGGTATTGTTTGTTGTACTTTTCTGGCTATATTATTAAAATTCTCAATAGATTCATCTTAGGCCACTTACATGAAAGGCAAATTGCCCAGAAAAGTCATACATCCCACAGGAATGCATCAGACTCAATGTGTTGCGAACAGCTTCGTCACTTAGCACACGATCGCCGGTGATTGGACAAATGCCTCCGTTGGCCAGCGTGGCAGCCATGACACTTCCAGACTCACATGTTACCTCAATAGAGCACAACTGGAAGGGAGATGCATAAAAAGATTTTAGCTCACAAATATTTTCACATTTTCTAAAAGCCTCAGATGCAAGGAGGTCTTTCTTATGAAAGAATGAAAGAAACTAAAAAACATTCTTCCCTTAAAAGTTTGAAACAAGCCATAATAATTAATGCATAGATTAAAAAAAATATGACTGCACAACTAATTCTGTAATTATTACTGAGGTGAAAAGATATTTGCATATATGTTATTAATCTGAACCAAATGATTTCCCCAGTATTTATCTGTTTGACAATAATATCTTAAAAACAAGTTGGCTTAAAAAATCTGTGTTGTTTGTATATTCCAAAAGTATCACACAAGGCTAATTTGCTACAGATTTGTTGTGGTTAAAGGCCACCTTTTTGATCTTTTAGCATTTACACTAACTAAGGTCAGCCCTTATTTAAAATCTATACCAATCAGTCAATGCAAAATATTTATTCATCAACATAAATCTAACAAGTTTTTAACACACCAACAAAAGAGTTACATTTCTAAACACACCTAAATAATGTTTGATCATGTTCTCCACTTTTAATTTACTTTTACAAATCATAAACCACAAAAAAAAAAAATCCTATTTATTTAAAAGGAAATCAGTAAATCAGACAAAAGTAGTCATTTATAATGCTGAAAAAAAAAAGTCACCTGAAAGTAAAAATCCAGGGCTCCAATCATATCTGCATTTTCTGGGAAGCACTGCAAGAATTGCACAGTTAGCACATATTCAGATTTAAATCCAGGCTTTTTTTGTTTTAACTTTCCTCAACTTACTCAGTTTGAGGTTAAACGACAAAATTGGGCCTATATCCAGTCTTATCATTTTGAACATTTAAATGTATTCTCTAATTAAATAAGGACTAATTTAGATTTGTAGTTATTTACTTGTAGCCCAAACCTGACTCATAAAAATCAACACACATATACATTAATTAAATATTGTCATATTTCCTTGTCTTTTCAAATTTGAAGATTGGCTAAGACAGTAACCAGTCTGCGTTTTATTTGCCAGGGAAAAACAGAAAGCCACAAGTACAATCTTAAAACTCCAGTTGATCAAAGAGTAAATATATGGTAGGAAAAGTTTGTGCCATTGATAAAAATATAAATGAGATGCTGATTTATGCTTGTTTTTTTATACATATCACCATAAATGCTAATAATTGTGCATGGCATCATATATAAGTAACAGTACCAAACTAGACAAAAGAAGAATGCAAACCTTTTTCTCTTTCAGGTAATAGCCGATTGCATAATTTCTATCTCCAGTCTCCCTCTCTGACTGAAATCTGCAAAAATACAAAAGTTATGAAGAACACAATTTCATTAGGAACATGAGCAGAAAACTCCTCTGTTTTGGTTTTTGGTTAAGAAACGCAACCCTTACGTGGCATTGCTGAATCCCACATATTCAGTGCCAGCCATACGTTTCAAGAACTCCATCACCTGCAGAAACAGTTTATTTAGAGATAACTCAGTCAGAAACCAGGCTCAGAAAGATAAGTTTAAATGACCCGCGACTGAAAAAAGTTTACTTACATAGTCAAACCTCTCTGCTTTATTTGAATGAGGCTGCAAAAAGGGGAGAAATAAAAAATATTACCCAAAGAGCATGTTTGGTTGGGTGTCATTATGCAACAGGGTACATTTCGTTGATGAGTGCGTCACTGCATGTGGCCACATGCTCAGTTTGGCCTGTTACGGCTGAGCTTATGGCTGAGCTTGAATTTCACACACCAGTAAAGGATCAGTAGCAGGTCAAGCAGCTGCCAAGAAGGAGCTACAGTCATTTTCAATTTAGTGACACAAATATTAATGGAAGAGACGTAAAATAAATGATCATTTAGCACTTTTGTCCTTTGACCTCTTTCTTTTCTGTGGCTGTAAACACAGAGGAAAAACCACAGCTGGAACTTTGTTTGCTTAAACATAGTTTTACGCACATGCAGAAAGCAAATGGTAAACACACCCTACTTCCTAGCTGCTGTAATTGGCCCAGAGCACACACACCCCTGTTGTTGAACCCAAACAACTTCGATCCCCTACTGTCAAACATGAGATGCATTTGATAAGATGACCTTCATACTATGATTCGCTGGTAAAACTGACTGCTAAAACACAGGTTCACATTAGGTACTATGAGTAGGCTCAGATAATACTAATGTCATGTATGTCACTGAACTAATACCGTGCAATGCTGACCTTTAAGATGGATCATCAAAATTTTTATTTCAACAAATAATAAAAAAGATAAACTTTTGTTATTTTTTATAATCTTTTATTTTATGTTATCTTTTGCTCAATATGTTCTGGCTCCTCTTTGACCTTTAGAGCCACTGTTAACTATTTTTCAAATCCAGCTGAAAAACCTTTTCCTCTTACCGAGTGACAAACTGGGGAAATATGATTTAGTTTATTAAGACAAACTGTTAATAATGACATCATTTTTCAAGGCAAATTGAATTATATCAACCTAGACACACAAAGCTCTTGGATGCTCATAAATGTGATCAGGCACAACACTATAACAGACAGCAAGATGTCATATTTCAGCCTGAGGCCTTGGTCTAATATCATGATTGGAGAAATGACCAGCTGTTTTGTCATAGCTCTGGCTTTCCTTTGTTTTGAAAAAATCATTACTGACAGTCAAGTGTTTATGTTGTAGCAGAATTTCAGCTGTTTGAGCATAAAATATTACCTTTTAAGGGAATAAAAGGCAATTGGCTTTCTTTTTTTCTTTTTTTTGTAAATTAAAAAACAATGGGAACATTGATATATGTCAATCCCTTCACATTTGCCTTCCAGAATAAAATTAATCAGCTTTTTTCTAAAATGTATTGATGTCAAACTCTGAGTTTTAGGTATTATAAACAAAAAACCCACACCAATCTTTACAGGATAGTTTAAGAACCCAGATACATGTCCAGGAAATAAGTTGTCCAGTGCACAAAAATAGTAAAGCAGTCTGTCTTTGTTGGGGTAAGAGCATGCATTCTGATCAAAGTGAAAAAAAAAGATTGATAATGGGTAAATTTTAACCCCTTGAAGCCTGAATATATATAAACATGTAAACAATGTTTTTTATTTGCATTTGTTACTGAAATTAGATCACTAGATGTATATTTATCTAAAAAAAAATAAATAAAGAAAGAAAATCACTGCTAACATACATGGTCATGGACCAGTCGTACCAAAAATAAGGGCCCGCCAAAGGCTCCTAGATCCACGCTGAATATGTAATAGGAGGCATTGGGGGAATGCACATGCTAACATTGTTTTCCTGCTCTGAAAACATGTATTTATTACAGAAGTTTTGGAATCATTTAGATGTTGTTGTTGTTGTTTTTTTTTGTTGCTGGACTTGGATACAACTGCAGCTATTCAGAGGATCAGGTGTTGTACATACGCCTGATATTTATTGCTGTTCTATCAGCTTTTATGAGAGGTGACATCCAGCTACCAATTTAAAGATGTCAATTTCCCTATAAGTGCAACAAAGTTCAACAGTTTAACAATCCATTTTTAGTTTTGCAGTCTATCTTCACTCCGTTCTCAGATATTAGAAAGATTTTTTGATAGGAAGTTCATGTTTGGTTTATGGATGCAAAGTAATCATCTTCTTCCCTACTCTGTTTTCTTATTTTATGTACTATTGATACTTGATTTTTATTTTTATTTTTTATAAATCAATTGAAAACAAAGTTGCCTTTATTGTTCTAAACATTCTGTTATGTTTTTATTAAAAAACAAACAAAAGCAACAGCAGAAAACTCAATACACTTCTGTCAATACTGCATGTCTATTTTTTTAAATAATTAAAAAAATACAGTAAATAGTACCTTAAGCAAAGAGCTAATGGTGATCGCTCCAGCATTCACCATAGGGTTGTGTGGTTTATCTGCACAAAAGACAAAAGTACTGTCACATCTTTGCCATTCTAAGTAGAAGGTGTATATTTAAAAGTTAAATAGCTAAAGGTCAGACTGACACTGAATCAACAGAGCTAAAGGGGATGTGATAGTCAAAGATTAGTCATGTTAATGCTAGTGCTTATTTTTACTGTTTTGAATTGAAAAGGTGACCAGAGTTGATTACGTAAATGACTTGCCTTCCTCGTTTAGCGACAGTTTGTTGAACTTGAAGCCACTGGGCTCCTTGCCAACAAAACGGTGAACATGTTCACTGCCGAGCTCGTGCACGGCGATGGCGTACTCCAGTGGCTTTACACACGACTGCAGGCAGAAAGGAATCTTGGTGTCGCCCACTGAATATCTGTAAGACAAAAGGTCATGAGGTGAAATCACAAACAAGAGAATTCCTCCTAAGGCTGCAAATATAAAACACAGTGTATGCTCAAGAGTGGTGCTGTGTTACCTCTGTCCATCAATGGTGCATAGAGATACGCCCCACAGCTCTGGGCTGAACTTTGCCAGCTGAGGAATGTAATCTGCTACCTGAAGACATGAAACACATGAAACCGCTCTGCAGTGACTAAGCAAACAGAGGCTGCATGTCCCTTACTTACATGTCCCCCTCCTTGCTGCTGTGCACTCTCAAAAAGCCTGTTGATCTGGAGGCTAAAATCCTCAAAGTCAGGGATGATAAAGTTTTTTCTGAAAGCGTTAGTCAGCAGCATGATGTTGTTCCCAACACACCTGTAGAAAAAAGGTGGAGAGTTAACAATTTCTTAGTAAAGAAACATTTATCAACCTGGTTTCCCTTTTCTGATTCACAATTTATAGGGAATAAGGTAGAACTTTCCTTCTCCTTTTAAGAATTTCAACTGCTATATTCTATTACAAAATGGTTGCAGCAGTCACTGGTTAGAATGTAAAAATATTGGTAACACACTAGTTCAGCAAAGCTAAGGCACACTATAGTACATTCCACAGTTATTAACATTTACAAATTATTTCATTAAGGTAGCTTTGCATTACATTAAATACAGTTGAGCAATGGGTGGGGCGGGTGATTGAAATTTGATTTTCACATTAAATCAACCCTCTTTTGTTTTTTTTTAATAATATTTCATGTTATTTAAAATTTATTAGTTTTCTTAAAACATCCATAAAGGTTTGTTTTCTAGGGTTAAGAGGGGTATGAGAGAGGTACTGTAGTATCACAGTAATAGGACACAAGGATATAAAAAAGGTGAAAAAGAAGAATGACGTTAAAAGAAGGATGGAAGGACAGAAGGGCAAAAAGCCACAAGACGGAAAAGTAAAGGTTTTGGACAGGAAGGAAGGCAAAAGGATAGAGGGGATGAGGAACTTAAGAATGAATACCACCATGGGACAATAGGAGAGGAAATAAAGCCTGATAGTAAAACCACATTTGTGTGCACTGGTTTTGTTTTTCTTATTAAGACGTAATAATATGACAAAACTCTGCATGACTTAAATAACATGTTTTCTATATCTGGCAATATGAAAGTAAATTGGTTGCTTCTTCTTTCTCTAGATTATTTTTATTTATTATTTATTTCATAGGAACAGCATATAAACACATTAATCATTACGAAAAGAAGATCTGATTTACACCCGATTTAGAAACAGCTACTATTCATCTGCAGTCCCTGAGCAGCAGATAACATTAATTCAACATGTGTACAATACATTCGACCCCATACACCCATTTACACATCATATACCGGTTCATTTACAGGCCTATAAACAGCCATTCAGTCAACAATATAAAATCAATCCTGTGCAGTTTTTGCTACTTGTGATTTTTTTAAACAACCTTTTTATTCAATATGGGATTTTCCCCTGCTGAATAAATCCTTGTGAAGGATTGCATAATTTATATTGATTTGTGTTAGCTTGTGCTTTAACGAAGAATTAGGTTTTATCAGGAGCACAAGTAAGTGTGGGTGATGTTGTTCCCTTATATATTCACAATCTATTTATTTCCACTGTCTACATTCACATAAAAAACACTTTTACATTTAGTCTTATTTGGAGATTACTGGATGAGGCCAACGTCTGAAACTGTTGCTATAACGGGTGAGCAATGTTGCATGCTTTCAAGGAATGGTAATAGTATATTCTCCCTCAGTTGGTCTAAACTAAAATATGCAACCATGAGTTCTAGGTACTGTTAGTATGAGGCTTTGACAGGAAAAGAGAGGGTTTATTTATACAAGCCATTTCAGAAAACTAACAGAAGACTGTTCTCTCTATTTCCAGCAGAATATTTGTGATGAGGCCTCCATTATTTTAGGAAACAAGCAGAAACATTGTGGCTGATTAGTTTAACCAGAGACAGTAATATGCTGCTGCAGAACAGAAGATGAGTCTAAGTGGATTACACATCAGTTAGAAAATTATAGTATTAGGAAAGCAGGGAGTGCGGTGCCTTTCAGCCTGCTAATTTAACTGCCTGTCTGGAGCTCAACCAGAATGATGCCCTTTCATTAGCAGCCTAAGAGACCCCACTATCGTTCTCTCACCTCAACTGGTTTGGCTGGCATGCATGCATGCACATGAATTTGCCTCATAGCAGCTGTCCCCTATAAAACGTCCGTGTCTGTCAGTGTCCAGGACTCAAATAGTGCTGGCCACAAATTACCTCTCTTACATAACATAAAAACATTAGGCCATTGGCCTAATCTAACCTAACACCTTTTGCTCATTTATCATGTTTGTCCCATGCTTTAGGGACAGGTGTGTCTGTTTTAACCTTTGATTAGGCAGCATTGACGCACCAAGAATCTTTATTGAAATAAATCCATTCGTTGTTTTCCTTCTTTTCACATTCAAGCGCATCTACTTACCACTCTGCTTATGGTTTCTATTAAAAGTTTTCACACTACTTAGATTTTTTTTAATCACATAATCTTACAACATTTATAAAGAAAAAAATTAGGTTTTTTTTGTTGTTTTTTTACAAAAAAAATAAAATAAAAATCCAGAACAAACATAATAAGCAATGTATAAGCATTCAGCCTCCAATACTCAATACTTTAATATTTTATAGATATAAATTTGGAATTAGAGCGCTAACTTTTTTGGACTGTCTCTTAAACAGCTTCCACATCTTGAGAATTAATTTGACACACATAATCTGTCATTAGCTGTTTTTCAGAAGCCTTGTTAGAAACTCTCAATTACACTAAGGTTCGAACTTTTATTCAGCCAGCTTTACATGTGAATACACATTAAATTGGCCTTATGAATAGTATAGTTGTTTTTTGAGAATAATGAAGCTCAACCTCTGGTCAAGTATTATGCCGTCTCCAGAGTTATTTTTTTTGTATTGCTGTCTTTCAGCTCCATCGTCGCATCAATTCTGGCTAGCCTCTCTGTCCCTGCTGCAGAAAAGCAAAGTGGCAGCATGTTTCACCATGGGGATTGGGTTTTCAGAGGTGTATGCAGTGTTCAGTTTCCAAACACGTAGAGAATTGTACAACAATTTCATTTATTTTGTCTCACCGGACCAGAACCTTGTCTCAATGTTTTGTTGATGAACTCAAATGTCTTTCTTTTTGCAACTTTTCAATAAGGACCAGATTAATTGAGCTCATCTATTCGTTGTTGTTGTCAACAGATTCTTCCACTTTAGCTCCTTTAGGGCCACTCTTTAATGAATGTTCTCCTCATTCATGTGGCCAGAGTGGGTAAAAGCCAATGGTCTATAAGAAAGCTTTGGATATTGTTTTATAATCTAACTCTGACTTAAATTACACAGAGTTCATTGGTTTTCATGATGCTGTCCCTGACGTGCTCCAATAGAAGGAGATTATTTTGCCTCCTCTTTATATTTACTTTGGGTCATTAGGATCAATTTGCACTAAAATTATTGGAAGCCATCAGCTATGAAGAGACAAAATGCAACTAGTTTTCAAAGGGGCTGTATTTATGTCACTATAAGTAAACTAAAAATGTTCTCACCTTCGGAAAAGTTTTTTGTCCATCATGACTGGTCCCATGGAATCACGTGTCAACTGTCTCATCTGATGGACACAGTCCCGCAGTCGAGGGTCAGATGTTAACAAACCTGTTCTTCTTAAAGCCTGTGGACAGGAGAGGAAGGAGATGATTGAAATCACTCTTTTTTAAAAGGGACCTGGGGGTTTGGTGATAAATGGCAACTATCGCTGCACTGGCTCTATTGTATTAAATGAAAACCAACAGATTCTGCTATCAGCAGCAGCAAGCTTTGTAATATTGGGTTTAAAGCTACAGGTGTGCCTGCAAGGAACTGAGGAGGGCAGCAAAGTGGATAGCTGCCAACCTTCTCCTGCTGCTGGTGTCACTGACAGTGACAGCAAAAATGCACATTGGTCTATTCTGGGGATACCATGTGCACAACCCTCATGACTACAGAAGCTTCAGTGGTTTTTTTTTATTATTTACTCATCACAGTTGATGAGTGCTTCAAAGTTCAAGCAGACCTGACTAATGGCTGCAAGCTCGCTGTTTAAGTTATTGGATTTCTGTAAGAATCTTAACCGCAACACAAGTGTAGGAAGGTTTGGGCACTGTACAGGCTGTTCCTGAGGTTACTTAGGTGTTATGTGAGTGCAGGAGTATACTGACATGGTTTTTATTCACCTCCTAAGTTTAATAAAACAACCCTTTCTAATCTGGAACATAATTATCATTTACCCCAAAAAAGTGCTTAAAATGTGACAGCATTCTTAAACCAGATATGTACCTAAAGTATCTTATTAAGATTTCAGTTTTCTATGTCGATTTTCTTTTGTTGTTCTCATGCAAACAGTCTAGGCAGCTCTTTCACCAGCTATCTTCTGCCTGAGTCACCTTCACAAACACCTCCAGTCATCTGTGGTAGAACAAGCTGTCACCTGTGTTGACACATGTCTCCTGAACGCATGGCTGTTTTTAAAATGACCCAAGTTTCCATAGATACTAAGTTCCCCAGATGTCAGTTTTTTTTTTTAGCTTTGAGTATCTCAACATAGTTATAACATATTCATATTCTTATTACAATATTTGTTTTAGAAAAAAAAAACCTCTTGGCATTTTGCCTGCATGCATTCCATCACAGATACAGATATTTAGATTTGTTATGTGGGAAATCAGGAGGTTAAAAATTTTGCTTCATTAATGAATGATTTGAGAAAGCTTAGCGGTAATGGAAATGACATCATGGATTACTCCATGTTAAAAACAATCTTTCTTGCTGTTGTTAATTCATTGACTCTGCAGCACCATGGCTGGTATATTTAGACTGAAGAAGATGGACATAAGCACCCTTTAAAACATCCCTCGCAGCCAGCAGGAGATGCTTTGGATTCCTGTTGTGGGGTATAATGTTTCTCCCAAGGTTAATCTAATAAAAGCCAAAGGTGTTCTCAGGAAACAACTTTGTAGCAGATCGCCTTTATGAACATGTTCACGTGTACTTCAAGATCTCATATCAGTACTTGCTCATATGCTGACTCACAGAGATGAACTGAGAAGCTGGGATCATCTCTTTCCCGTCCGTGATGGTGTAAAAAAGTAGGTCCTCCATGCTGGACATGAGCCTGCTTCTGTAAAGAACACAACAAATGCAGTATGGTTTGATCTTAAAGCGGGCTTTGTTCCAGTATATCAAGTCAAAACTATGAGCAGTAGCTTAAAGTTTATGCCAAAACGTACTCTAGCAGTGAGGGTAATGGCACTTAGCCAGATGCTGCCCTCAATCCTGGGCTAAGGAAGTTTGTTTATTAAAAAGGCATAAAATAAAACAACGGGAGTGACATAAATCCAATGTAGCTCCTTGCCTATTATTCAAGGTAAATTATCCAGAAGCAATTACTTACAAAATATTACTAATTATCAGTGTGTGTGCAAGAAAATCACACCTCAGGATCAATGTATTTGTTGCAATAAATCCTTACCACTTATTATTATTATCTTGTTGATATATTTTCACTCCTTTAGAGTTTTCAAGGGGGACTTTTGAATAGAAGCTTTTTTATGAATAATAATGCTTACATAGCAATAATAAATATATGCAAATATCTTTCTTAAAGCCAGAAAATGATCTATATATATA